CCAGAGGCCCCCTAGTGGCCACAGACTCCCTAGTGGCCAGAGGCCCCCTAGTGGCCACAGACCCCTAGTGGCCAGAGGCCCCCTGCTGGCCACAGGCCCAGGATTTTTTTGTGCATCTGCAGCTTGGCAGTTGTGGCCTTTACTTTTTGGCATTTTCTATTGGACCTGATTTTGAAGAAAAATTTTGCCAGGTTGAAAATAAATTAACAAAAGCTAGAAAAAAGTGTATCTGTTTGTGTAGATTTTGATAGATCTACACACTTGGGGTCCATGTTTAAGCTTTTTGTCTGAATGGATTTTTCATATCAAAGTTAAACCGTAACAAACATGTTAAAAATCAAAAATTAAGTCATCCATAAAACCTAAAACGTAAGCGCTATCATTCAAGAACATGTAAACATCCACTGGGGTCCAAGCAAACTGCAAACATCAGGGTAAAGCTTTCAAGCTAAATTAACTAATTCAATAATCTGGAGTTAAACAGACCCTCAAAATGTGGCTTTAACTTTGTGGAAAATTCATCACAAGAAGCACTAGACTAGCACGTTGCAAACATCATTGCCTCACATGCTGCAGCATTGATGGACTCTGATGTCAGTAACCTCAAAGAAATAAAGACAGACTCTGCTTCTGAAAGTCCCTGGGGCTCTGAACATGTTTTTGAAGGAGATCATCAACATGTGCAGGAAGAGAGGTCGGCCACCGAAGCCTTTGCAGAACTTCCACATGGAATTGTTGCAGAACCAGATCATCGTAGATCTTATGATCTCTGGCTTGTGCACATCCTCCTCAACTGATTGGTTCTGATGCATGGAGGAAAACACAGTCAGAAAATAGTTTTTGGGACGGGTAAAGATACTGGACCCTGAGCTAGACCCTGAGCCATGGTGGACTCTATGTACTGGTGGAAAAGATCATGCTTGATAACAGCTGAAAAGTTTACTAAAGTGAGCAATGCAACATGAATACACATGGGTTTTGTTATTGTGCAGTTTGGGTGGGGTCAGCATGAACTATAGAAACCCAATCAAGCGTTGAGCCAGCAATATTTGTTATGCTGGTTGACACGATGAAGCAACTATCACAGAGAAACATTGCCACAGAGAAAATATCACCAATGTGTAGAGCTGTTGTCCGCTTGGATAACTGAAGAGGGTCTAAGAACAGAAGCCTGGATGAGTTAACCCTAACCCTTTGTCATTGAGAGATAATGGACCAGAGAACAAATAGCTCTGCACCTTAGACCAACCTTCTGTGGCCGAAGCTTTCATTCAGTTTCAGCTGAGATTGCGCTCCATTGAAAACTGAACATGAATCTCTAGCTGACATGGAGCGGAGTATGGCTGAAAAAAAAAGATAATGATGAAGGTTGGAGGCTTTCTCCTCCCTCTTATTCACCATGTTGACCTTCAGAGTTCATTAAAAACTCTGCTCTTAGAAGTCCTTGTGAAAATCGTCAGATGTGAGTAAAGTGCCTCACTGAGTGGTCCGTCACACCAAATTCCAGAATGCGTTTTAATGAGGAAGATGAAGTGCTGTCACGCTGACTGATTTTTAAACCTGTGTGTTAAAAGATCAGGAGATAAGAAACACCTGCAGGTCGTTCACTGGCTGGTAAATCAATAACGCCTCTGAGGCTGAAGCCAATTAGGCTCACATGAAAGGAGCTGGCATTAGGCAGCGTCGCTGCGAAGGAAACAGGATTACTCACGGTGTGTGAATGTAAACAGAAGTACATGTGCTAATTACACGGCCGTCTCTGGGAGGCTGATTTGTCTGAGCAAAGGCAGAAAATGTAAGGAAGTTTGTTCATCTTCCTGAGATGAAGTGGAGGGGCTGCAGAGTGAAGCATTTCTTCCCATCAAAAACTAATTGATCCCAGGGAGGTCTAAAAAATCTTGCAGATTGATCCTAATCTCCACATTATTACATCATGAATTAACAGTTTTCTTTAGTCAGAAAACTTTCTCATCCATTTGGTATTGATTTTCTTGGTGGGTTCCTTCTTAGCATTAATTTATTTTGGTAATAATTCACTGCCGTCTCACTTTGATAATATGAATGTAGGATCTTCACATTTAAACAGGATTGAAAGATGATTTCAAAAAGAAAAATGTTGTAACTAATGTCTGGCTTTAGACAGAGAACGTGTTTAGAGAAAATTCAGAAGAAAATTTAAATTCAGCCCATGATTTAGAGAGAACTAAACGGAAAAATACATCTTTGCATTAAAGTTATTATTGTAAAGATGAAACTAGAGGGAAAGTAGTGGATCATCTGCATATGTTGAGATGATCGGTTTTATGAACATGGATCTTCTGACAGCTGCTGTTGGCTCTGAGCCTCGGTTTGTTCAGCTACTTTTATTTTATTTATCTTGTGGCTTTTATTTTATTGTTTTTGAAAGTAGGCAAACAGGAAATATAAGTAGAGAGAGGAGGACATGCGGCAGGCTGGGCTTCAAACCTGCAACAGCCGCATCAAGGATCACAGCGTTTGGCGCATAAGCACTGCAACACCAGCAATATTTGACTAAATAATGCTTTATTTTTAACTATCTGCAAATATACTTTAGTTTACTTTAAAATATTTTAACTCACTTACAGTAATCTATAAACCTTTATTGTCTTTTATTTGTTACCTTGATCCCGCAGTCCGACCGTTTGATGACGTTGAAAATTACACGCTGTAGCTTTAATATATTTTTATAATTTCCTTTTAACATGTATGTTTTATGTTCAAATATTTTTAATGGTTCAAATGTATTTGAAAATAGTGAACTGCATGAAATTAAAGTGAAGGAAGGAGAAATATTTATTGTTAATTAAACAACAGATCGATTAATGAGAAATTGAAGCAACTAATGGTTCCAGTTGTTCAAAGAATGACCCAAACATGGACTAGCAAAGGTTTCCCTCGACACAAAATGAAACAGAACATGAAGCTTAATACGAACGAACCAGGAAAGGAATGGCTGCCAAGCATTTCAGTATAACTACCAGCAATAAAACAATCCTTCCTTGTCCGCCGCAGTTAAACCTTGTTGTAATGTTTCTAACATGAATCTGGGGATGAATGAAGAAAACGTTTCTGCTCAAAAACCCAGTTTTTTCAGCATAAAGGAGGAAAAACCCCAAAGATAGAAACTGAGGACCAATCTGAAAACCAGCAGCACCAACCAGGAAGCTCCTCAGAAGTTTGCAGGACGACCTCTGGAGATGGCATGCAGGAAAACGTCTGCATTGGTTTTCCTGTTAAAGAACCCAGATGCCAACCAATTTTGAATGGAAGCTATTTTTGCAGGAATTTTACCTGAACCTGTTCTTTGATTTGCTCTGTGTGATGAAAAGCTGCAGGGCTCAGAGTCTGAGCTGCCTTGAAAACTTAGAAAAGTTGGTAGGAAGGGCAGCTAATATTCAGCAGCTCCCAGCTGGAAACATCAATGTTTGCTGCACTGATGCACAAACCCGTTAATCCTTTAACCATGGAGGCTTCATAGAGAGGAGGAAAAACACACCATCAGTAGAGCTGTTGTCTTGGTGTTAATAGAGATGTTAACACAAAGCATTAGCAGCAGCACCGCTGCGCTTTGATGCTGACGGAATTCTGCTCTCTTTGCTCCTCTTAAAGCCAGAGGCATCTGTCATTGACACCTCCTCCACTCCTGTCTCCTCTCAGACTCTGACTCCTTGTCCTCCTGTGTCATCCTCGGCGGCGAAGCTCACGCTGAGCGATAATCCCATCTTCCCCTTTCAAAGCGACGATCGGGGGACCTGAGGGGACGCTGAGTCAGCGGCGGGAGTTCAAACCTCTGAGAGGCAGTCAGACGCTGTTTGCTGCTTCATAGAAACTCTGAGGGTCGAAGCAGCAGAACAACAACAATCAGGTTTTCTTCACACAGCTGATGTGATTGCCTCACGGCGCACATCTCAGCTACAGGAAGATTGTTGCTTTAGAGTAAAATAATTTGAATCTGCAACTGATCACTGAAATCTCTGTGACTCGCTTGGTTGGTCTGATGCAGGAAAAGCTGAGGACATTCAGCTCAGATCCAAACCCAGACTGACCTTCAGCTGATTCCTCCTCTGAGGCTGCAGCTTTCATTAATGCTGGAGATGAGAAACGCTGCAAACAGACCGACTGTGGTCTGAACTGCAGAGGGAGCAACAGAACCTTCAGTCATCAGTTCTTCTCTGTAGCAGACCTCCTCCTCTTCCTCCTCTTCCTCCTCCTCCTCCTCTTCCTCCACCTCCTCCTCTTCCTTCACCTCCTCCTCTTCCTCCTCTTCCTTCACCTCCTCCTCTTCCTCCACCTCCTCTTCCTCTTCCTCCTCTTCCTTCACCTCCTCCTCTTCCTCCACCTCCTCCTCCTCCTTCACCTCCTCCTCTTCCTCCACCTCCTGCCTTCATCCTCCTCTTCAGTTCACCACATGCAGCTGGCTTCTATCCCACCACAAACATCACAGAATCGTTTAGGGATTTTGTAGCAATAGAAAGTAGATTATTATTCCAAATAAATCCACGGTGCTCTAAATCTGAGGGGCTGTTTGTGTTTGCAGCCGCGGCCCCCAGCTGTGTGGAGACCAGTGTTTTATAAAGTACTGAAATCTTGGAGTCAAGTAAAAGTATAAGTACCTCTCCAAAATATGACTTTGGGAAAAGTCCAAATGTCATTTGAGTAAAAGTCTTAAAGTATCTGAAATGGCTTTTACTTAAGTCTAAGAATTACTGTAAAAATAGATGTACTAAAGTAATAAAGTATAAGTAAAAAGTAAATGCAGTTTGAATGACTTTTTTTTACATTTTGGTAAACTTTGAAGGTTAACTTAACTTAAAATAATATAAACAACCAAGTGCAGTATAAATGTAGACTGGCTTTATGAAACAGGCGTCTCCTATTTTTAATTTTTTTTTTTAACTTAGTAACTAAACCAAACATTGAAAATGTATCGGAGTAAAAGTACGCAATTAAGTTCGTAAATGTAGTGAAGTAAAAGTGAAAGTTCTCAAAAAAATTATACTCTTGGAAAATATGAAGTACTCTAAAATATACTTAAGTACAGTAGTGAAGTACTTTTACTTTGTTACTTTATAACACTGGTGTAGAAAAGCAGTTTCAGTGACCAGAGGACCTCCAACATGCCGACTGCAGCTCCTATATGGTCTTTCTGGGACGCTGGTCTCATATTGGACCTGCCTGCAGCCTGTTCCTTCTGGCCGTCTGTTAGTTTGGAAGTTGGGTCACACTTTGTCTACATTATCTTTCCATCTGATGCTGAATGGTTTAACATCACTCTGTGACACATTCCAAGGTTAGAAAACCAGTTTAGATTGAACTGGTGTCCATCCAGGTCCAGTTTGCTGATCTTTTTTCTCTTGTCAGTTCCATGTTATTCCTCCTCTTCCTTCTGTCTCTCTGAGTTTCATTCCTGTCCCTCCATGGATGCTGAGCTGCTCCTTTCTTAATGAACTTTCTGCTGTGGGTTGGTTCAGCAGCCTGAGGCGTCTTTCCAGTGCAGCCCTGAAGGAGCTGCAGGGAGAAACGTGTCTGAGTGTAGAATGAGGGCCGGCCTATTGTTCATTCTAACCAACATGCGCTCATTTCAGACCAGCTCCCATCACTGCTGCCTCCATCACTCTTGGATAAAGCGTTTGGTCCTCTGGTTTAAGGTTAGGGTTACCGCTGACCTTCACTGAGCTGAGCCTAAACGCATGAATTTAGTTCTACTCTGGATAAACTGGAGGAAGCCGTGTGGCGGCAGGAGAAACATTCTACATGTCAGAAAAAACAGGATGTAAAGAAGAGTTGATATAATGCAGGAATTCAGCCGAACGCTGCCGATCTGAGCAGCAATCAATAAAGCGCAGCTCAATAAAAACACAATCATCTCTAAACTGATTCTGGAAAGAAAATTATTTTCTCTAACCAGTTTGGGCCGCATCATAAGAAGAGTAGCTAAATATTTTCCGTCAGACTTGGCTGTGCGCTGAACAGTCAGCCTGTTTCATGGACGTCTATGCAGGCGGCCAGAAGCCCCCGTCTCACTGATAAATCGCTGCCATCCAGAAAAACAGAAAAAACTGCAGTTTTCCATTATTTGCTTCTGAATGGAAGAATCCGGAATTCAAGGTCATAAAACATAATTGTTTAATTTTTATAAATAAAACTGGGTTTGACAGCTGCTCACAGGAGGTTCTTGTCTGACACCTAAAGTAAAGGATGTTCTGCATCTGTAGCCTGATCAGAAATGTGTTCACTTTTTTTTTCTAATTGAATGTTTTAATGGAAAACAGCTGATGAGTTGAAACTAGATGCCTTTGAGCCGCTCCATGGATTCCCTGCAGGTTTCTACATCCTTCCTAAATGTCTGTCATTGTGCTGCTGTGGCCTGCAGGATCCTGGAGCTGCAGGAGAGAGGCGACCTGGACATCATGAAGCAGAAGTGGTGGCCTCGTACGGGACGCTGTGACCTCAGCAGCCATGCCAGCGCCCATCCTGACGGCCGCTCCCTCAAGCTGCACAGCTTTGCTGGCATCTTCTGCATCCTGGCCGCCGGCCTCCTGCTGGCCTGCATGGTGGCCGGCCTGGAAGCGTGGTGGAACAGCAACCGCTGTGGGCAGGAGCAGCCCAAAGAGGTGACTGAGCATAGGTCCCGGCGGACGGGCCAGCGGGGGGAAGACACTGCCACACTCTACTTTAAGGATCCAGCCGCAGACACGAGCCCCGACTTAGTGGAGCTCCAGTACACCCAGCTATAGACTGTAGGAGGACAGGGTTAGTGGAGGAAGGCTGGGGGGCCGAGGGAGGCGAGAGTAGCTCTGAGGTCACTGATTGAAATCAAATTTGGTCTCTTATGATTTCAGCCGCTTCATCTGTTTATGTTTTTCTGTCATTTTGCTCCCCTGTCACCTTAAAGGGGGGGGGGGTCAAACCACTACTCCCCTTCCTCATGTTCCCGCATGTTCCAGGCTTCAAGGTTCAGTCGCCACGGCGACGTCTTATCTGCATTTAAGAGCAGCTTAAAGGTTTGGTTCTGAAAGGAGGAGATCATTAGCAGGAGGACGAGCGTCTGCTCCGACTGGCGAGGAAAACATTTAGCGTTACAGACGATTACAATCTAACAGAAATGAAAAAATACGTAAT